AAGAATAATTCTTATCTTTTTGATGAGTTTAGATCCCTATTTTCTTAATAAAAATTAAGTTTGACTAAGTTATTTAGCTAGATCTTTATTCTTTTATGTAAACAAAGAGTATAGTGTTTTTTTTCTATGAGATAAATTATTCATACCTTATACTCCTTATATCTATTTTCAAAATTTTTTTATTGGAAATAGTTCACCATTTAGTATTTCTAACTTTAAAGAGTTGTTATCAAATACTTCCTTGATATAATAAGGCCTTAACCAAAGAACATCAAATTTTTTAGAAAATTCCATCTTCTTGGCATCTTGTAATAGAACTAGTATGTCCAATTGTAAGACTCTCTTCTTGTATTTTTTTATTAAAAGTATTTTTTTTTTATTAAATTGCTTCTATGTATTGAGCTCCAATCCTTTGTATTTCATCAAGACGTTCTAATTGTTCTAATCTATCCTTTAAGGATTCTTAGATAGATAAACTATCATATATTTTTATCCTTAGCAAATTGACTTCAAACTCTATTGGTAGTATAGCTTTTACTCCATATACTAAAGAAAATGGAATAGCCTTCGTTGTGACCTTATAGGTTGTTTGATAATTCTATAAGGCTAATGATAATTTTGTATCCCAATCTTTCTTTTAGTACAACCAACTCATTTTTGAATAGGCTATAGATTAGTCCAAACAGTGGTTGAGCTCTTTTATAAAGATCAATGGAATAATCATAAGGTCGATGCTCTAGAAGAGTATTTTCATTTTTCTTTTAAAAAATATCTTAGAAATCTTGTACCTAGCTAGGAATACTATATAATGCCTTTTTGGCATTGAAAATAGGCATGGCATATAAAACAAAAGATAACCCTTCTTTTGTGACATGCATAAAAACTCTCGTACCTAGCAGTAAGGATTTGGATGTATTAGATTTATATATTTCTACTTGATTAATGGAATTTTGGATTAAACTATCAAAAAAATTAAGGTTACAAGAAATCCAATCTATTTGAAGATTATATTTTTTTAATCAAGATAATTCTAAAATAATTAGATTGGATGGAGATTTCATACTTCTCATTTTGTGGTTGCATTGTTTCTTTGGATAATATTAAGCAGTGTGTTTAGTTTCTCTACAATATAAGCATAAGCCTTCTTGATGTCGTCTAGTCTTTTCTTGCTTGATGAAGGATTTAAAACATATCGTATCAATTTGTATTGATTTTGGCCTCAATGAATAAGTTTCTAAAAATTAATAAGTTGCTATCATTATTTGATTTATTCCTCTCCAGTCAAATCTTTATTCTTGACATCTTTCAAATAATCAATTGTTATATGAAATGGCTTAAGCAATAAATTATTTCAAAGATTCTACCTTTGGCATTGTCAGTAACAAGTCTTTGAAATTATTCTTCAATTCATATCAAAATTGATTGATAAAGGCTTTGTCATTCTAGTCTACGTTGCAAGCAAGGTTTTTGAATTCAGCAACATATATGGTTGCTGACCAGGATTTTTGCCATAAAGATAAGAATTTAGTCTCTACTATTCTTTCTTTATCACTTTTTTCAAATATAATCGTAAAAACTTATAGGAATGTATTCAAATCATAAAAGAATCATGAATCCTTTTCCATTAAAGGTGTAAATCAAGAAAGAACACTTCATGATAGAAGTGTGCCTATAAATCCAACTTGAGTAAATCAATTGGGATATTGGAAAAGATACAATCTTAGATAGAGCTTGACTTCTTCTAAGAATCCTTGAAATTTTGATCTTGTTCCATCAAAATTCTCAAGCATACTAATTCTTATTTCTATCATACTTGTAGAAGCAAAATTTTGTAGATTTGAATGCGAGGTTAATCTACTTGCTTCTTTTAATTGCACAACTTTTTGTCCCAAATTTTGAACTTCTTCGATAGGCATAGGCATAGTACTTCCATGATTTTTATTGAAAATACGTGAGATTTCTATTCTTAGAGTATTGACAAGCTCATAAAGATCTGCAATAGTGACAAATCTATTCTCACTTCTGTTGAGAGTAGCATCTATAATCTTTTCTTTTATAGACATCTCAAACAAATTCAAAAAGTTAAATTAGAGGAAGGTAATGTGCAACCTCTAATATCAAATAAAAATTTCCACAAAGAGAAGTAATCTACTTTCTTTAAAAAACAGATCAATGTTAGAAATTAAGATTTTTTATTTAAAGGTGGGTAGTCGACAACCTTCAAAATAAAACAATAGAAATGAGGTAATCTCCTTATTTTTAAAACAAGATAAAAATAATAAGTTAGTACTCTTGTCAAACTATCAAGGACATGAATCTCAAAGAAAGAAAATCCTCAATACACTCTTGTATCACTAAAAAGAACTAAAAAGTCATTCAAAGCTGATATAATATTAAATTAGAATGGCTATTGCAAAAAACAAGAAGACTAGAAAGTCTTGAAGCAAGACTAAGGACTAAAAAGACATTGACAAGAATGAAGAAGGCTTTACTCTTGCTTCCATATATACTCTTAACTAAGAACTACATGGCAATATCTTATAGGACCTTTAAAATATATTGACTTTACTAAACATGTATCTTAACTTGCAAGACAAGTTTTCTATATGTGGGCCACATAGTTAGTTTGTTTCGCAAGCTATCAACATGTGATTAATTTGTTGTCTAAGTTTCTAACCTATCAATCAATTACAAATATATATAAAGTCAAAGCAATATCTATGAAGCTTCTAAAAAACTACTCTAAAAGATATTATGAAATTTTATTTATTTTTATTTACTTCTATCTAATCATATAGGTATTTATTAAAATACTTATATACATCCATGACACTACTTTTGCCTTGTCTTCATAATAGAATTGAATCTTCACTTTGAAGCTCATTTTTTTTTCTTCTTTGTCACTTTATGGGCAAGTCTTGATGTGATATAATTCATGATAAGCTCTTTTATGTTGATAGATTCCAATACCATAATAATGTAGTTGAGATCATTTCATTCTTTCATCTTTATCATTACATTTTTTTTTTTTTTTTTTTTTTCCATAGAATATTTGTAAGGTTTTTACTTTCATATATATTACAAAGAGTCTTCCATACTTTTGTTAATTTATTACAAGCAATTATATGTAAAAATTTGGCATCATCAAGATTTATTGTAATCATTCTAAAAGCCTTTTTTTCATGATATTTATATTCTTTCATTACCTTAACATGAGTATTTTTACTTGGAAGCTCTTCATTTTCATCTACAATGTTTCAATGGTCCAATGAAGCCAATAAAAGCTCCATTTTTTTCTTCCAATAGTAGAAATTATTACTTCTAAACTTTTCAATCACTTTCAAGCCCTTATCTTTACTTAAAGCCATATCTAAGGAAGATACTTATCAAAAAAAATAAAAAAAAAAAACAAGATAAAGCTTTCAAAATTAACAAGAAGATATTGTTGCTTTAAAAATCCAGAATGTCTTCTTTATAAGTAAATTAATGATTTCATTCTTTAATCACCTTTAATATCAAATAACACTTCTAATCTCACAAAATAAATATTATTACTATAAAAGGATTTTTTAAGAACTTAAGTACATAAAAATATAATATTACTGCACCAATGATATAACTCAACAAAAAAGCACAACGCTACAGTTTTAAAACATCATTTTAAGATATCTAACAACTTTTAAGACTATGAGTGCATTTAACAACAAATAAGAGCAAAACTACATCAACAATTAGATACAAAAGTGGAATTAAATGATACCAAATCCTAATATTAGCAACAATCATAAGATCTATTCCTTATAACAAGAAAGACTTCAAAGGATTTCAAAACTTACAATTAAAGGTGTGTGGATCTATAACCTATTGAAAAAAAATAACTTTGAAGTCATAATACATAATATCAACAAGATTGTACAAAAAGAGAGTATGAAATAAGATATCTTTTACTTCCAACATCCATTACTTATAGGTGGTGGTTGTTATCCTAAAAAACAACTTCCACTTTTTGACTTTTATACACATGGTCTTAGGATCCTTTGGCATCTAACTTATCACAAAGATATCCTATGTCAAATATTAATTACTCTTATCTAGTCTTTGGATAATTTTTAGATGATACTTTATCTTCTTGACTTTCATTCTTAACCCTTGATATTGTTCTATATCTATACAATGCCCTTTTTATATACCAAGAGTCAATCCTTTGACCATTAGCAACATATCTAAGGTAATATCCTCTACAAGATAACTTATTTCACTTTTATTTTTATTTACTTGCTTTAACAAATATTTAGATAGAAATAGTGGTTATTTCACTTAAAACTCTTACTCTATCTTTCAGGTATTAGAGGCTAAGATGTTACATTGTATACTTTTTAATCTATCAATGCATCAAGTAGATTTAATTTTTGTATATATATACATACACACATACACACATACAAACATACGTTTGTTATTTGTAACATCACATTGACACCCATATCTATTTAGTTAAACGTCATTCACTTACTCCAAATAGAGTAAAAAACACGGCACAGACGGGCTTCAAAACAGTCTTAAATTGACCCATCGTCATGACTCAATTCAATGAAGAGGAAGAGAACTATGTCCCAGCGAAACAGAACACGCAGTTGCAAGACACGTAGAAGAAGAAAAAGTATGAGAGCGGGTAGCCGTGCGGCAACGGGCCGCCCGGGCGGGGACGAGAAAGGCCCGGGGGATCATGATCCATTCTTACCGGGCGGGGGGGGGGGGGGGGGGTGGGGTGGGGGTAGCACCGGAACGGGTGAAAACTATTGCTGGTCACAGGAGGCGGATCAGATGTTGACCCGAGCTAGCCTATGACCGCACCCATTCAAACGGTGGGCGGGCCCGCGCACCGTGACAATATTACCCCAGGAGGTAAAATGGGAGTTATAAACCGCGCGGTCTTACGGTGGCGACGGATTTTATGGCGGTAAAAGGCCACCAGCTTCATAAGGAGACAAGCAGCCATGGCTTCCCTCGTATCTCTCTCTCTTTCTCTCGTAGTGTTTCTTCTTCGGTGATTGTGTCTCTAGCTGCGGCGATTTCTCCCTCTCATCGACTCACCGTGAGTCCATTACCAACTCGAAATTCATGCTCCCGACTTGTTGAGCTCTCGGTGGAACTTCGCAGCATTGGATTTGGCGCTCTGTGGAGGATTCTTTCTTCATTACACTGGTGCGTGTGGTTGGTCTGTGCTCCAGGGACTCGCTAGCCTCCACCTTCACGGTCTGCCGGTGGTCGTGCAGTAGTCGCTTTTCTTTACGATTTTTTCCCGTCGTTGGACTTGGTTATTTAATTGCGATTGAAGCTTGTTTCGTGTTTTTTTGAATGTTGATTTGCGTGGGAGTTTCAAGTTGTTGCACTGGAGCTGTTGATGAGCTCCGTGTTTGTTGTTTTTCTTGTGTGGTTGCAATTGGAGGTTGCTGGTAGATTTCTATTCAGTGTCTTCGTATGATCGTATAGTTTTGTGCGAGCGAGTTTGGTGGTTTGCTGTACTTTTTTTGTTGCTTGAATGCTGCATTTTAGTACCATACGTGCTACATGGGATCCAGCAGTAATCCAGTTTTTAATAGTAGACATTGCAGCTTTGCGTGAGTGCGTTGTGCTCTGGTTACACCGTGTTTTGATCCGTGTCTTTTTGTACACTAGGCGTACCAGGATTAGTGGTGCGCGTCGTACTGTAGACTTGTGCTAAGTTTTATTCAGTGCAACGAACCTTCAAATCAGTTGGAATTTTGGTGCTTTACAGTGCGATTAGTTTTGGCTTGTGTTGCAGACGGTTGGATCGAGTAGCCTTGTTCTAACAGAGTTCTTGTAGCTTGAAGTTGGTAGCAAAAATGCACTTCCTTTAAAGACCTCGGCTGCTGGACAATCCTCTGAATGCCGCTGAAAACTTGGAATTTTCACGTTTTTCATACATTTAAAGGAATGGAGCCGACTTTCTGGTTTAAGGCGCATTTTATACACTCGGGATCGTTCTGTTTTTCTTTCGACTTATTTCTGTGTAGAATTTGAATATTCTGCTCTGAATTATTTTTTCACCCATTCGATTTTATACAATTATTTATTTGTTCCATTTGAGAATTTTCCAGAGCAATTTTAGCATGTCACATTGGTTGAGCTGAATGTATCCAGTTCTTGTGCAGGCCGAACGTGTCTAGTGACTTTCAATCAAAATGGCTTCCAACGGAAACAATTCACACGACTTCGAGTTTGTGAGCGCTAACGTTCCAAATGGTCTTTCTAAAATCAACACCAAACCTACGGACCCGGAAATGTGCAAGGACGATACTGCTTCCACAGTAAAGGTGTCGAACCTTGACGAGCTGCACGCTTTGCAAAGGAAGAAAGCGTCAGCCCCGACCACGCCACGGAACGCCACAAACCCATCTACGCCCAAGTCTGCGACTCCTCGTGCCTACGTATCGGAAGAGGAGCGTCAGAAGCAGCAGATGCAATCTGTGAGGTACGAGCTGATAATTGTCATTCTGGGTGAAAAAAATCTCTCTGCGACTTGTCTTTGTGCCTTGATCTTATTAAATTGATACTAGTTATATCATGCAAGATGAGTGAGATGCATACAATTGTACTCACGATTTAAATTTAATTTAAATTTAATTATTTTTTTTATCTTTATACTTGGTGATTAATTTGTTATTATTTTGATTTCGCAGTGCATCTTTGGCTTCTCTGACTCGTCAAAGCGGACCCCAAGTCATCAAGGGCGAACCAGGAAGAAAGAAATCTCCTCCAAAGACTGTGGCCGCCCCCAAGCTGGACATTAGTGATAGCGCCCTGAAGTTCACACACGTCCTGTACAATTTATCTCCTCCCGGTAGGAATTTTGCCTTGGTTCTTCTAGCTTTTTTGTAAGATATTTTAAATCATAATTATTTTCATAATAATAACTGTTAAACCTTTAATAGACATTATTTGTCTATTTAAAAAAGGCAATGCTGAGTAGATATCATCTGCATAATGCAGAGCTGTACGAGCAAGCTATCAAATATGAGAAGGGTTCTTTCATCGCCTCGACCGGAGCTCTTGCCACACTCTCTGGAGCTAAGACTGGGCGGTCTCCTAAGGACAAACGTGTGGTGAAGGAAGAGACCTCAAAGGATGATCTTTGGTGGGGAAAGTAAGTAGATTTTTCTTCATGAAAAATTGATTTGCATTCCGACGATCACATTTACATCTGCAAAGTGAAGATTGGTTTGATTGAATACTCGGTTATCAACATTCGAATTTTTGATCGGCGTGCTGTTTCGAATTTTTGTTTTTCCTTACCATCATTAGACTTTGCTGAGTTATGTTGACCCCCCCCCCCGGATTGTTAATTATTAATTGCTAATTTTGGTTTTCAGGGGTTCTCCAAACATTGAAATGGATGAGGAGACATTCTTGGTTAATCGTGAGAGGGCTGTTGACTACCTGAACTCATTAGAGAAGGTATGCTATATTTTCATATACGACACACTCTTTTGTTTTCTCATGAACGGTACTTATTGGTGTAGCTCTTCTGCACAGCTCTTTCCACAGGATAAATACATAAAACATCGGGTGTTGAGTTAACCTATCTAATGGAAACTTGGTGGTTTTGCAGGTCTTTGTAAACGACCAGTTCTTGAACTGGGATCCTCAGAACCGGATCAAAGTCCGGATCATTTCTGCTCGTGCTTATCACTCACTCTTCATGCATAATATGTGCATTCGTCCCACACCCGAGGAGCTCGAGGACTTTGGAACCCCCGACTTCACAATTTACAATGCCGGTCAATTTCCTTGCAACCGATACACCCACTACATGTCATCGTCAACAAGCATAGATATCAACCTGAAACGCAAAGAAATGGTGATTTTGGGGACACAATATGCTGGAGAGATGAAGAAGGGTCTTTTCAGCCTCATGCACTACTTGATGCCCAAAAGAGGGATTTTGTCGTTGCATTCTGGCTGCAACATGGGAAAAGCAGGGGATGTTGCCTTGTTTTTTGGATTGTCAGGTATATTTGATTGCAGAGAAATACTTGTGAAGCTTCATGGCGAATCATTCATAAGATTCTACGCTTGCGCACTGTTCTAAATCTTCTGTATGGTTGAATGTGTTTGTTGTAGGAACCGGGAAGACGACTCTGTCCACTGATCCCAACCGACAACTTATTGGTGATGATGAGCATTGCTGGAGTGACAACGGAGTTTCAAATATTGAGGGAGGATGCTACGCTAAGTGCATAGACCTTTCCAAGGAAAAGGAACCAGAAATTTGGAATGCAATCAAGTTTGGAACAGGTGAAATATAATATTTGGTTTTGAGTGAATTTTAATGCTTTACCACATGATCACTACTTTTTCATTTTCATTACACCTCTTTTAAACGTGAAAAGCATGCCTGAAATTGACTTCCATGTTGCAGTGCTCGAAAATGTGGTTTTTGAGGAGCATTACCGAGACGTTGATTACAGCGACAAATCTGTGACTGGTAAAATTTTGTAATTGAATGTTCTTCTGTATTTTGTTTTGTTTTTGTTTTTGTTTTGTTTATTTTTCAAATTTTAGATTCACTGTACTTCTATGGACAACCTGTTAAATAATTTTTCTATCAAGATTAACTTAACACGGGTTTTATATTGCAGAGAACACAAGGGCTGCATACCCTATTGAGTACATCCCCAATGTTAGGTTGCCATGCGTTGGACCTCATCCGAAGAACATCATCTTGCTATCGTGTGATGCTTTTGGTGTCTTGCCACCTGTGAGCAAGTTGACGCATTCGCAAACCATGTATCACTTCATCAGCGGTTACACTGCTTTGGTACATTTATTCATTCATTTTATCAATTTCAAACACGATCTACTTTGAGTGCGAAGTGGTTCTTTAAATTGGCTGTGAAATTGAACTGAAAATTTTGCGACCTTTTCCACAGGTTGCGGGAACTGTGGATGGTGTGAAAGAGCCTACGGCTACATTTTCAGCATGCTTTGGAGCTGCTTTCATTATGCTGCACCCCACTAAGTATGCTGCCATGTTAGCAGAGAAGATGCAGCAACATGGAGCCACTGCATGGTTGGTCAACACCGGCTGGTCTGGCGGCAGCTATGGTATCGGATCAAGGATGAAACTCGCATACACGAGGAAGATCATCAATGCAATCCACGACGGGACATTGTTGAACGCTAACTATGTGCAAACTCCTATCTTCAACCTGTCTGTGCCAACTGAGGTCAACGGAGTCCCAAGTGAAATTTTGCAGCCACAGAATGCGGTATGCAAACATTATAAATCTAAATGCTTTCATTATTTTTCTTTTCTTTATTTATTTCTCTTCATAGTCTGGTCAGCTTTTTCAGAGGTTGCAGAAAACTTCATCATGAAGAAAAAGAGCTAGTTCCTAAATTTTGCATGACTTCACTTCATTCCATCTGTTTAACATTGTCAGTATGACAGTTGGATGTGGGGGGTGCGTTCTACAATAAATAACTGTCAACTGTGTCTAATCTTTCCAAAAATAGAGAAGATGGAACCTGTACTCTTGAGAGGCTGTCTAATCTTATTGTAGTCAGTATTTGTTGTAAGTGTTGCTCTCCTCTCTTCACCTCTGACAAGATCAGCGATTTCTGATATTCAGTGGGCGGACAAGAAGCAATACGATGCTACGTTGAAGAAGCTTGCAGGTCTCTTCCAGAGGAACTTTGAGGTTTATGCTGATTACCAAGTTGGCGGAAACAGCCAGCTTACGAAGCAGATTCTTGCAGCTGGTCCTGTTTTGCAGTAGAGATGCCATACGGCTAGATATGCCGAATGGTTTAGAGATCGGACGGAAGTCTGCAAGCTCGTCTGGAGGATTGTCTTCTTTACCGGTAGAGTTCTGAATTCAGTTCAAGGTGGATGACTAACATCTAGAGTAGATAAAGTGAAGGTGGATTGAACCCCTGGGACTATATTCTTACTGCCTGGGTTAAGCAAGGCTTAGGCAGCAACTTTTCATAGAGACTCTGTTCATAGTCTAACTTAATTCTTGTGTATACCCGATCTTTTGATCTAATAAGACAACTGCAAATTTAATGTGACAATTTTCCCACTTTTTCGCCACATGATTTCTTTTTGGTGGGTACAAGCCTTTGCTCTCGATAAACGCACGCAAACCCTGAGTTGGCATGTATAAAGTTTCATGAGCTGCTCTTGTGTTTCCTACGATGAGAATTGTATCTTTAGCGCTACAGTAATTGTGATACAACCATAATGTGTTCCGGGGAGAGTCAATCGGTCATTTCAAAGTTTCGTAGGTCTGCTTTATATTACGCACACCTTTTTTGCCATCTTCTCAGTCCAGAGGGACTACGCAATCGTTACGCATGGCCACCACTTCGGTGAAACCAATACGCGTACAGTGCTTAAATCAAATGAATATGTGATGCTTTGCAGGCGAGCTGCATTTCATGGAAACAAAACCCAAATTGCAGTTTCTTCACATGGAGGGCTCTTCTCATGGCCCTGCTTGGAAAGTCTCTGTCGAGAATAGAAAAATGTGATCAACTGTAGAGGTTTGTTATTCTAGATCAGTACACAATCAGAAATAGTGCAAAAGAGACTTTGTTTTGTCGTTACATGTTGAAGCCATTTTTTGCGTCAGAATGGCAGCCGCATGCCCATGTTATGTTAGAGAACATACTCATCAGAAAATATATTTGCGGTTCGTTATGGAATGAATCATTCTGTATCAACACTATTCATTGTTTTAATAAGATTCTAACCCGGGTGTAATCGCATGAACTAAAGCTGTACCATGTACTTTGCATGGAAGAGTATAAATGTGTATATATATACAAGTATGAATCACTTTTCGCCTGACAAGTAACGGAAACTATACCCCCGACATGCATGGAAGAAAATAAATACTAGTGTTTGATTCGCTTTCTGCAGAAAGTGAGGATGTATTACATGTGAAACTGGGTCCTGTGGGACCGATGTGGATGGACTTCAACATAAGTCTGCTTCAAAGGGTGCCTGAGAGGAGAGAAGGACTGCTAAGGATATTGGTGGCGGATCTAGTGGAGATTGTATAAAGCCAATATGAAATTGCATTTAGGGCACATCTAGAGCAATTTTAGGCTTAAAAAGAATGGGTCAAAACCAAATAAGGTTAAGGAATGTGCATTTCAAGAAGAAGTCAATCCTATGATGCAATAGGTTATACTAGGTTGTAGAGGTTGGATTGTTCATATGGATTCAAACAAATATGAGAAAGTGGAGGTAATTAGTACACCCTTGCAAATTAGCAAGTTGTACCTAATAAAATCTATTTTTTGTGAATTTTTGACTTTTGATGAATCTTACATAGTTTTGATTTATATTCAATCTTAAAAAATCATGGTAAAAAATTATACAATGTTGTGTTGTAATACAACTATTAAGTTAAAGAGTACATAAAGACCAATAATTTAGAAAGGTTTTATTGAAAATATAGTGTAAAATTACTTAAGTAATCATACATAAAAGATAGAGAAGTTGTAGAAATTTTAGTCTAATCTATTATTTATTTAATTATTTATTTTTTCATTAAGTAGGCTTCTATTTATTTTGTAAGATCATAATCAAATCAAAATATGGTATATTTACAAAAAATAATAATACAATCATCTTTGGATGAAGATAAAGGATGGTTTTTAGCAAAAAATTCCTAAGAAAAGTTTAAATTAATACTCTCGGAGGACCAATTGAGAACTAATATCAAAACTAGATTCTAAGGCATAAATCCCCCTCCCCCCCTTTCTACATACATTAGATGGAGGTTCTTTGTTTCATCATAGAGCAAGGATAAAATGCGGATTTGAAGAAACTTTTATAAGTATTTGTTTAAAGAGTTTTAAGTATATAATGGATTTGTGAGAGCTATGCAAAGTTAGGATTGGATTTGGATTAACTTTAGTTTTTTAAAAAATAAAGTAGATTTTTTATTTAATTTTTTATTTTAAAGTTTTGTTACTAATTTATGGATAAAATTAAATAGATTTGTGTGAATAGTTGTGATGGATATGTGTTTAGAATGTCAATTCAATTAGACAATTAGATTAAGATTTATTAAAGTTCAAATGAGTTAAAATATCCAAAATTTAAGATTTAAAGGCAGTAAGGTTTTATAATATTGGAAACAATGTGCTAGTTATAATGAAGTAAAAATTAATAAAAGATTAATTGATGTGAAAAAAAACAACTATACAACATGTTTAATATATAATTTTTTTATTGATAATTTTTTTAAATTTTATTTAAATATTTAATTGACAAAAATCTTATTATTCTAATCCAAGTCACAAGTAAGTTGTTGGAATTCTATAGCATGGATAGTAGTTAAATTTGAATTTTTTTTATAGAAATTGAACTTTTATTTCTATTGTTCTTTTGAAATGTACTCATAGATGCTTGAAGAAATAAGATTGGATTATATAAAAATTATGAATTCTTTTCCATCAAAGACAAAATACGAGAAATAAAACTTCTAAATAAAAAAGTATGTATTATGATAGAAGTATATATCACATATACAAGTAGAAATAAGTAGAAGTAGCTATAAACATATTAAATGGATGATATATATATCATTTAACTACTAAAAATTATTCTACAAGTTTCTTAATTTTTAGAAGTCATATTGGAAACAACCTTTAACTTGATTCTTGGATTGTAAGTCTTATGGTTCATAGGAAGCTTCTACTAGACCTTCTTAGTAGCTAGTATTTATAAAGATAAGATTAAATCCATTGTTATTCTTATCAATATTTTTTTGATTTTTAATCCTAATTCAAGTTTATTTTAATTTCTTTGTAATTAATAATAGAAACTTTGGATTTTTATTTTATTTTATTTTTTTCATCTTATATCTAAGTATTACTTGTCTATTTTTTCTTTGTCAATGATACAAGAGTACATTATCTTCTTAAAGTTTTGTCCTAATTTTTGTCCTTGAAATCCATAAAATTTACTTAAGTAATACCATTAGAATATTATAAATAATGTAATTATAAGAAGAACTTGTTGTGTCAAACTCCTCCAATATTCTAATATTTGGAACCTTTGTACTTGAGGTTGCAAGATCTTTATAATTTATTTATAAACTTAGTCCACTTGTACTTACTTCTTTCAATTGCACAACTTTCTTGATGTAGAAATTAAATTTTATTATTAAATTATTCTATAAGGATAGTAGTATCTCTTTAATATGTGAAATTACTAATATATAAGATTTGTTTTAAAGAATTTTAAAAAGATTGTAAAGATCCATAATAGTTCCAAATCTATTCTTATTTCTTCTATATGTAGCATCTATAGATTATTTTTTTTCCATCTAAATTAATATGGATTAAATTTTATTTTGATGTTTAGATAAATAAATTAAAAATAATTAATAAATTTATATTTTAGTATTTTTTCTACATTTAAAACTTAAATTTTATAATTTATAAAATAAAAAAATATATTTTATTCAATGACAAACTGTCATCATCAAGTCATATAACTCAATAAAAGGTTTTTTTATAAAATTAATTATTATAAAGAAACGATTGTTTATGATTATTAAATATTTATTATTCTTTAATTTGTGATATCATATATTTTTTATAAATTTGATTTATTTCCATTGTCTATTTGTGATGGAATATTATTTAAAATATTATTTTTTATTTGATATTAATAATTATTCTTATGCTTGATATTCTCTAATTTATAAAGTAAAAATGATCTTTTTGTCTACCTTTTACTTCAAAATCTCTGTAATTTATTATTTTATGCAATTTACCAAAGTGTGCTTATAACAAGTATTGTTGTAACCTTAACAAGTATTCAGATATTTCCCTATTTTAAGAATAATTGATGATTTGTGCAATGTTTATTGTTTTTAGCATTTCAGTTAACACTTACATCATATATAAGAACTCATATCTATATCTAATACACAATGTTTTTGTAAAATTGGTTAGAACTTGTTTTCTTTTATCTGTACAATATTGTGAGGTTTAAATTATAAAAGCTTATGTTTTTGGTAATATAGTGTAAAATTAATTGGCTGCTTGTGCGTGAGATCTTGTATCTTCAGAGCGCATGTCTTGCCGGTTTTTCTCGATTGCCTTGGCCCTGAGTAGACTTTAGTAAGAATTCGGTGTCATTCTCGTTTGAATTCTGTGTTATATTTTTTCAGGATCAGTGGAACATCAAGATCTTATAGACATTAAGTAGATATATATATATATATATATATATACACATTTATCTTCTAAAAGATACCGGATTTATATTAATTTATTAAATTAAAATAATGAAGTGAATTTTTTATATTTTTTTATTTATATGTTTTTTAATGAATTTTAATATGTTAAAATTTTTTTTCTGACAATGTAATAAAAAAGTACTTGTATGTTTTTTAATATTTTCTTTTCATAGAAGTGTTACTTAATAATGATTTTAATTTTTTTAATTATTTGCTACAATATCCATTACACATTAAATCTTGGTACATTTTTAAGCATTTTATGTATGTATAATTTATTCATAACTCAATTTAATAGTGTTACATAGTTATTTTAATTCCATCATTTTAAAATTTTAAAGTTTAATTATTCAATATTCATCTCTAAAATAATTATTAAAAACTTATGATTATTAATATTATTTAAATTTAACATCTAATTTAGTATGATTTGAAAATAACATGTTAATCACGTGTTGAAAAATTTATTGACATCAATCCTTATAACTTAAATATACTCTGGTATTCAAAATTGTTCATGTAAACAGTTCTATTTCTTTTCTATGTTTCACAATTAAAAATAATTCCATTCGAAATTCGAATCCTGCTTGTTGAAGTTCTCGTTCAGATGTTTTTGCTTCCCTTGCTCAAGGAAAAAAATCAGATTTCCCTTCGGCAAGAAATGTTTGTTTTTGGCAATCAGATACAATTTTACAAGCGGATTCTCCTTCTCATGAAACAAAATGAGGGATACGATATCGTAAAATATATATTGCCCCTGCGTGCGATTGATTTAGCTCTGATTTCTAGCTGCCCTGGTGGATAATTTTATCATGATTCTCGACTA